TCTCTCTTCTCTCTCTTCTCTCTCTTCACTCTCTTCACTCTCTTCTCTCTCTTCTCTCTCTCCTCTCTCTCCTCTCTCTCCTCTCTCTCTCTCTCTCTCTCTCTCTCTCTCTCTCTCTCTCTCTCTCTCTCTCTCTCTCTCTCTCTCTCTCTCTCTCTCTCTCTCTCTCTCTTTCTCTGTGTTTGCTTTTTGGGGGTCTCAGCAGCTTCTTGGGTACGGAGATATATCATCCCCGGAAATTCTTGAGTCTGAAGCCCGTTGACTGGTGAGATAACATGTGCAAGCAAGAGGACCACAGCCACCAGACACCACAGCTCTTTAAAGCCGTTGAAAGTTTCCGTGGCGTTGATTCTAGACCTTTGGTGAACCCGTCCGGAATAGGATTCGAAGAAGAACAACACGTGGACGCAACTTGCATCTGGACATGTTCTGATTCCATGCTACCGGTACATCCCTCGCAAACTAGTTCAACCATTCCTAACACTGGTTTATCCCAAGGAAAGAAGTCGGAAGTCTGGCTCACGCGCTCTCTCTGGGCACCCGGCGAGAACGCCCACCGCCCTACGCCAATGGCCCAGTGATCGCGCATCCTGATGCGACGATGTGACGACGCAGACGGATGCAGGTCGATGCAGGCCGATGCAGGTTGAGTTCAAGACATCAATCGGGTGAGATGGGATTGATCTTCCCTCATCCAAACGTGTCGATCTCAGCACATCCTCCTGCTCACACTCTGGCTGCTGGCCTGTAGAGTCGTCTCCGGAGTTTCCTGCGATGCCTGAACAGCAAGGGATGGGGTTGCCGAATCTCAACCTGACCAAAGCCACTTGTGACAGGCCGTCCTCCAGACACTTAAACGTATGGCAACTATTTTTAGGCAATGACCTCGGCAAACGATGTTGGAAGGAACGATGGCAGGGCATGTTGTGTGCCCCTCCTCTTGCCTTTCCAATGAAGCATTAACACAAAAACATGAATATGCAAGAAAAGGAGGGTGGGTGGGGGGGAGGGGGAGTTGGGCGGGGGGCGGCGCACCATAAATGGAGCAGGGTGTTCTGCAAACCCCGGAGCCCGAAGCCCCCATTAGGGCTTACGGCCTACGGCCCGAAGAGGCTTCTAGGGTTTAGGGCTGACAGGCTTGAAAAGTGTTTGAGCAACCCGGCCTGGCAGAGCCAAAGCCCCATCAGCACGCAGCACGCCAGGACCTGCAAGAAGAGGCTTTCAAAGCTAGGGTTCCTCTCGCTCTCACTCGCTCTCTCGCTGTCTCTCCCTCTCTCTCTCTCTCTCTCTCTCTCTCTCTCTCTCTCTCTCTCTCTCTCTCTCTCTCTCTCTCTCTCTCTCTCTCTTTCTCTGTGTTTGCTTTTTGGGGGTCTCAGCAGCTTCTTGGGTACGGAGATATATCATCCCCGGAAATTCTTGAGTCTGAAGCCCGTTGACTGGTGAGATAACATGTGCAAGCAAGAGGACCACAGCCACCAGACACCACAGCTCTTTAAAGCCGTTGAAAGTTTCCGTGGCGTTGATTCTAGACCTTTGGTGAACCCGTCCGGAATAGGATTCGAAGAAGAAAAACACGTGGACGCAACTTGCATCTGGACATTGAATGGTTCTGATTCCATGCTAAATCCCTGCAAAACTCGTTCAACCGTTCCTAACATCTCCCCCTGAAAGTCCAGAAGTGCTTGTGAAGTCAACTCAGGAATTGAGTGCTGAATGTTTCCCATCAGCCCGCGGAAGTCCGCCTTGCACAGTGGATGCTGACCATCAGCACTTGTCCTTACAAAGAGTGGACCTAACTCACATCAGCATCAGCCCGCAACAGTCTATCACCCCCCTTTGCCGACGCTCCCGGAAAACACATGCACATCGGCGGCAGACATACAGCAGCACATGGTAAATCCCACTATGGACGCTGCACGTGGGCCTCAAGACGTGAGAGCTCAAAAGTCAGGATGTCTGCTGGGCGCTGATGAGGTGTTATTGGAAGTTTTTGCAAGAGGTGGTGGAATAGACAAACTATTCAAGAAATGTTGCCCGCGCCAACAGGTATTAGCTCAGGGCTGGAAGGAGAATCGCTATAAACAGGTGTAGGTGTAAATGTTGTCGTCCAGGTGATAGTATCCCTATCAACGGGTCAGGTCCGGGAGCAACTCCTTTCCCAACAGAAGACCACCCTTGCACCGCGAATGCAAGAGGATACTCAGGCTTGCAAGACCTGAGGGGTGCACAAGCGTATTGACCGATATCACCTAGGTTTCCCTTATGGTGTCTACCAGTCGCCACCTTATGCTCTCCGGTTCCACCTCCCCTGGCGCCTAGGTTTCCCTTATGGCTTACCAGTATTAGCGGAGCACAGAGCGAGGTTAGGGGACTATACAGCGAGGGGCAAAAGAACTCTTTTCTACACAAATGCTTCAAGAGCGCTCTTGAGCAGGCAAGCGCTGCGGTCATTGCCATGCTCAGACTCAAACTTCAACAAACAAAGACTGTACACGTCTGACTCTCGCACGGACATGATTGAAACATGAGATATTAGAGCAGATCGCCATCACCTCCAAATATTAGAGATACCTCGCATCATCGTCACCCATCGTGTATTACGTTCTCCTTGTCCACGTCGTCGATATATTGCGATCAGGCTCCCACACATCATCAACCATCATATCCTGTCATGATCATGCCCAAACCTGAAAGTGCTTGTTAGTCAGACGTTGCACACATGTAAAAGGACTCATACTCGATGCGCCAAACAGTTTTTAAACACTTGTTGTGGCATTCTGGAGTGCCTGTTGGCAGCAAATCCCCAGGAGACACTTGTTGCCATCGAAAAGAACAACCGTTCAAAGACCCAAGTTCCCCTTCATTGTGGTTGCACTCCATGAGTGGAAAACAAGAACCTTCGATTCAACGTGACTCCATAAAGTGTGATCCCCCAGCGTATTTCTACCAGTCGACGCGAGCGAGATGGCCTGTGCTTGCATGCTGACCGCACAAAACTCCCGAATGCTATGGCCAAGCTTCGCTGGCGTTGGCGGCTGCGCTGAGGAACGTTTCTTCTCACGCTCCTCTGCTGCCGGCAACGGATGCAAGACAATGCCGGTGTTGGCACCAATACTTGTTACTTAGGATGGTGCCCTCCTACAGCAGGACACACACCTGGCCAACAAAAGCGCAGCTTTGCATGTGCAGCTTTGGATATAGAGCCTCGTCTTCCTCCTCCCCACCAGAGCCGAGTGCCCTCACGCAGACCGCACTCCTGCACAGCAGAAGCAGCTCTTAGGCACATACGCCAGCCACTGAAGGCTGCTTTGCACCTTTTTGTGTAGCTCTTAACTACCCATGAAGACTCTGCCAAGGCTGACGAACTTTCGGCAGAGCGTACTCGTGCTAAGCAACGTTAACTGCCAACCGGATTTGGCAAGTTCATGTCAGCCGTGCCTGGGACTCTCTTCGGCTGGTTGCAGAATTGGGGTGCCTGTCCGGCCACTTGCATCCTGAGTCGAGCAGGCTCATCTTTCGCAACTTCAACATGACATGGGCCTTGTAGCCCGACACTCAACAGGGTTACGGATAATTTAGCGGAGAAACTGAGGGCTCGGAAACTGAAAAGAAGGGAAGCGTACGACCAACATGCAAACCCCTCCCAACAGCTCCGATCGTCCGCCTGTCCGAGCCGAGGCAAAACCCTCTGTGCCAAGAGGGTTGGAGAACAAAGCCTGAGAATCAGTCTCCTCCCATCGCATCACCCTTGACCAGCAAGAGTGTGCTTTTTCGATGCTTTCTTGGGGGGGGGGGGTGTTCCTTTTTACAATAATTTGTTTTGTGTGTGTGTGTGTGTGTGTGTGTTGCTGCGGGTCGCTTTTCTTGTTGTTGCTGCGGGGCACGTTGTGTTTTTCACTGCTGCTGGGGGGCACGCATTTTCTGTTGCTGTTGCTGCGGGGCTCTTTTCGTTTGCTGTTGCTGCGGGATACGCTCTTTTTGCTGTTGCTTCGGGGCACCTTGTTGTGTTCACTGTCGCTGCGGGGCACTTTCTTTTGTTGCTGTTCCTGCGGGGCGCCTTTTTTTGCTATTGCTGCGGGGTGCATTCTTTTTGCGTTGCTGCGGGGCGCGGTCTTTTGCTGTCGCCACAGGCTGCGCTCGCTCACTTACTCGGCGGCCAACGACAGGGGGGGGGGGCATTTTTTTCTTTGTCGCTGTCGTCGCGGCCGGCCGCAACAACACAAAAACACAAGTTCCGCCCTAGATTAACCCTGAACTTCACACAGGGCCTGTGAGATTCGGTGGTGTTGATGCCATCCGGTGAAGGCCACGGATAGGATCTGCTTCCTGTAGGGCTGAGGATTTAGGGGCCCATACCCAGCCTGTTCTAGACCATTTGGCTTGGTGCCTTTTTGGGCAGGCTTCAGGATTCGGATTTGACGGTTTAGGGTCTGCAAGGTAGCTTAGCCGAACCCGAAACCAAACCAAACCAAACCTTCGAAACCTTGACCCTAAACCCTAACAGCCTTACACCCCAAGCCTTTAGGCCCTAAACCCTAGAACCCGATATGGTCAACCCCTAAATCCTTAAGCCCTCAGTTCCAACACCCTACAGCCGTAACCTTAAAGCCCTAAACCCCTAAACCCTTCTAGCCGGGACATCCCCAAAGCCCTCGAACATCCTAAAACCCGAACATGCCCTGTTTAGGGTTTAGGGTTTAGGGTTTAGGGTTTAGGGTTTAGGGTTTAGGGTTTAGGGTTTAGGGTTTAGGGTTTAGGGTTTAGGGTTTAGGGTTTAGGGTTTAGGGTTTAGGGTTTAGGGCTGACCCTAAAACACTGGCTCCTCGTCCCTGCCAGCTGCCGTTTCACAATGGACATGGTTAGGATCTGCCTCGCCTCTGCCTTGTCAGGGCTTCTCAGATAATTGGGGGCTTAATCGGCTTATCGGGATTTTGGGGTGCACAAGCTTGATGGCTAGACCTTCTACACCTTAGCCGCCTTAGCCCGAATCCCCGACGTTACAGACCCCCACAGACAAGCAGAGGGCGTCGCCCTTGCATGGAGAGAGAGACGAAAGAGACGAAAGAGACGAAAGAGACGAAAGAGACGAAAGAGACAAAAGAGACGAAAGAGACGAAAGAGACGAAAAAGACGAAAGAGCCCCAAGGCCGAAACACCCTAAACCCTTGACACCTAAACGGATCTAAACCCTTGTGATCCATGAGCCCGCGTCTCGGGCTGAGGATTTTTTTGGGGACTGGGGAAAGCCCCTGAGCAATAGGCTCAACCCAGCTGAAGCTTTAGGGTTTGGGGCTACCTCTTTTCAAAGACCTAGATCCAGGTATCTTTCCCAATAACTTACATGCCAGTTCTTTGGCCAAGCATTCGGGATGTCGGGCGCGCCCCGTCACTTCGGGACGCACGAGGAGAATTGCCTGAGAATGGTTGACATGAAACCTAACAAAGTAGAATAAACACAAGCTTCGATTCCATGGCTGGAAAAACGAACAGTCAACAAAATAGTTGTTTGGCTTCAACAGGCAAAGAGGGGTACGTTTCGATTCTTCAGGCTGCGAAGATGAACGAAAGCCGGTTTCCGACTTTCAGCATTCGCGCCAAAGTCCCGGTGTTATTTGTTTTTGCGTACCATAGCCCTACACTCCCAACAAACGGTGGAGGAGGAGACGGGGAGGCGCGGACGAAGAGAACGGTTGACTTACAATCTAACAACCCACACCGAGGGTGGGGAATCAACCAAACCCTAAACCCTAAACCCTAAACCCTAAACCCTAAACCCTAAACCCTAAACCCTAAACCCTAAACCCTAAACCCTAAACCCTAAACCCTAAACCCTAAACCCTAAACCCTAAAAGAATCTTAAAAAGTGCCTCTAAAATTGCTGTCCGGGAAGGTGGCTTCGATTTCTTAGGCCGGACAACAAAGAATCGAATCTGGATATCCCGGCGAAATAATCCAAGAAACTGAATGGTGACCGGCCGAACGAACACCCAGAAAATCGAACGAATCTTGTTCGAATTGGTGAAGTTTGCCGATGCTATCTCGATGTTCGGTCTCATTAGTTTGCCCCTTTGCTGATGCTAACCTTTCACCAACTTCCCCAGTGTTATGAGGCTGTCAACTTTCATAAGTTTTGGGTTTGGGGCCCAGGGCTTACGATCTAAACCCTAAACCCTAAACCCTAAACCCTAAACCCTAAACCCTAAACCCTAAACCCTAAACCCTAAACCCTAAACCCTAAACCCTAAACCCTAAACCCTAAACCCTAAACCCTAAACCCGCCCCAAACCCTAAACACTAAACCTTCAGCGCCTTCACCTCGCGACAGAAGTTTGCCCAAGCGCCAGTGGCCACCGCAAGCAGCGACTGCGTCAAACGGACCTTGCTCAAGGCTTTGAAAGGCTTCTTGCGGTCTAGGGTTTAGGGTTTAGGGTTTAGTGTTTAGGGTTTAGGGTTTCGGGTTTCTGGACTTAAGGCTGTGGATGTCGGGCGCCTTTGCATCTCTAGGTTAGGCCTGTGCCTCAGCCCTCCTCACAACCCGAAACCCTCAACTCTGAAACTTACAACCCTAAACCCTCAGCCCGTCACCCTGAAACCTAAAATCTCAACCTTCAAACCACAACCCTGAACTCTAAACCCGAAACCTGTACTCTCAACCATAAAGCCTAAACCCTAAACCCTAAACCCTAAAACCCTCAACCCTCGCGCCAAGCTCCGTGCGGTCAAGCGCTGTGCGGCCGCCTCTCCACGCTGCAGCGCCGCGGCGCGAAGGCGGCGCTGTTGCCTGGCTGGGTTCATTCAGGGTTTTAGGGTTTAGGGTTTAAGGTTTAGGATTAAGGGTTTAGGGTTTAGGGTTTCAGGGTGTAAAAAGGCGTGTAGGGTTTTAGGTTTCAGGCCTTTAGGGCTAGGTTTCAGGCTCTAGGGTGTTCTTTCTCTAGCTTCCTGTTTGGATTCCGGTAGCGGTAAAACTGAAACTCTGAACTCCAAATTCAATCTGGCGAAACCGACCCACTCAAGGTCTCCGCGCAAACAAGGCCCTGCAACCGACACCGGGCTCGAATCGCACGCCCTCATCTTGCAAACGAAGCATTCCGCCTTGGAACCAGGGACTGAGGGTTTAGAGCTCATTCCAAACAGCCACTGTCCCCCCAAAAACCATCTGGAGGATGAAAACGAAACCAGTAAACCATCTAACCTCCAAGCCCTGACCCTTCGCCCTCTGCGCCTGCTCATGAGAGCGTAGTGCCGCCAGGATTGGAAGGCATTGGACCGAAGCACCTTCGACCGGAGCGTCGCACCTAAAACCCTAATTTAAAAACGCAATATCCCTATAACCCTCTGGACCCCAAACCACCCCTCAATCCCAAGCCCTGCGTGCCTCCTGTCTTGCTGCAATCTGAGTACTGAGTCTCCTGCAGGGCGAAAGCCCTTAACCCTCTATATCTTTGTTTATGGTACGCACAGAGAGCATTAAGACTCTCGACCGACTAGTTCTTATAAGGAATCAGGGAGTTCGGTATCCTCCCGTGGCCCTAATTCAGTATGTTACTCTATTTCGTTATCCTGTTCTCCACCAAGACAGAAGGAAGAGGACCCCTCCTGTCGAAAGGGAACCCTCATTTAGCTCCAAAACCCTAAGCTCTACACACCTAAGCCCTGAACCCCAAACTTGCGAAGAAAGGAGGGGGGAACAAAACAGGGTACGACTGCAACAATGTTGCGCGATATTAGAGGCCATTTTCTTGCTTAAAGAGCGGAATGCCTGAAAGCGTGCCCACAACAACATCCTGACTTCCGCAGACACCTGCTTCCATCACCCGAAGCCAGGGGTCGGGTTGTTGAAATACGTTAGACATGTGCTGCAATAGCTTACTAGACTCCGTAGATACAACCCTCTTAAACCCAAACGGGACATCAACAAAATATACTAGATGTCCACATGGCTTCACGCTATAGAGCCGCTTTCCTCTTATCGTGCCGTTGGCGCCGCCTACACCTCAACATGTCAACCCTTAAAACTCAAACCTCAGCCCTAAACTCTATAAACCCTAAACTCTAGAGTCCTGGTGCTTCTCTTTGAGAAGCTGGACCTCGCCCTGAGGTGCGCGCGTCTTTTTTTGCAGGTTTGGGGCGTAAATTTCAGAGGGTTCAGGGCAGTTTCTCAGTGACATGTATGGTAAGGGTTTAAGGCCGAATTTCCGGGATTGGGGTTGGGGCTTGGGTTTAGGATTTGGGGCGGGCACTTTGAATAGGTCTGCTCAACCCGGCCACCCTGTTGCTGAACCCTTTACCCCTCACCCCCAATTTTGAGCATTCTTCAGCAAACAGTATGTGTATACAAACAAACATTGACATGTAAACCACCACTGCAGCACAATCGACATGGTTGCATCATGTTTGTCTAGAATCAAAGTTTCACAGCCTGGAGGATCAAGTTCTTGGCCGGGGCCTGCGGATTTACAGCGAACGCTCTTCAGCAATGACACGCAATCAAGCACACACGCTGACAAGGCAACACGCATCAAACCCGTTGATGATGACGATGATGATGAGGGTTCGGGGTTTGCGGGTTTTGTGTCTACGGAGTTTTCAGGGAGGTGTGAAGAATTGTGGGGTCCCGTTACTCGGAGAGTCGCCTGAGCCGCCATGGACTGCTAAAGCTGCCGAGTGTGATGGCCCTGCTTCAGCCTTTGATTAGGCTGCGAAGCAACGAGCACTAACTTTGCTACAGCGGAAGTGCCAAAGTGGGCTGTACGATCGTCATTGTCCTAAATGCGTGGAGGCAGCTGGGCATAAGCGTAAGTGCAAACGACTTGATCCGCAAGCAGTTGGCAAGGGCACCTTGTCTATGGATCTTTCAGGACCTCACCCAGCATCGTTTTCAGGACATCGTTATTTCATGGTTGCGAATCTCAGCATGGAGGGTCAGGACATTCCATTTACACGCCTGTTGTACACGAATAAGACAGAGGAAGTAGCTCGAGCTTTGAGTTCTGTGATGTGCCAGATAGTATCTATGGCTCAGGGAGCTCCGCCGATATTTCGCATCCACACGCAGGTCGCGAGTTCACAGGCGGTGCATTTCAGAAAGAGGTTGAACGTTGTTGCGTGTGGCCGACTTCGAGCATACGTGCCGAGACAGAACGGTAAGGCTGAGAGACTTGTGGGAATTATGAAGCAGCTGGAACACTTCTTTTGCACTCACGTTTGCCTTTGCAACTATGGAGCGAAGCAATCCTGGAAGCAACTTTCTTGCGACGATGCAAAGCCCTAGGACTTCTCTTGCCAAAGGACAGACCAAGGATGGGAGATCCTGTCTTTGTACGAAAACCCCTGCAGGCACAAGAGCACCCTTTTGCGCCGCGTGCTGAAGAAGGTGTGTTCTTGGCTAATGACGAGCGAATCCCTGGAGGCGCACGTGTCATGGTCGAGAGAGATGGGCGGACTTCGGTACGGGTCACTCAGATGCCAGTGCTGAAGGATCGGGAGGTGGTTCGTTGGAGGATTGAAAAGGGTCCTCGAGATCAGACTGTGTGGGTGAGTTCAAGTGGTGACGTCAAGTGGGATGTTCCAGCGGCAGATTTGATCACTTTGGAAGAGGCGATGGGTGAGATTCAGCCTTGGAACGATGGCGACACTCCAGCAGATATTATAAGAGCTAGATTTCAGAAGCACCTTGTACCAGATGCCGAGAGCTGTTCTTCTGCAAGTTCTGTGGAGGGACGGGCGTCGTGTTGAGGAAGGTCTCAATCGGGTCCAGGGGTTCGGGGGGGGGGTCGAAAATTATGGGCACCTATTTTGGTCGATTACGTGTTGGTTCTGCTCGCCAACAGGGGGGATCCTGGCCTGTGAACATACTGCTTGCATGTCATTCTCGCCCCGTTTAGGGTTTAGGGTTTCAATTGAAGCCCAAAACCCAAAGAGCCTGGCCTGACCCCTCAGCCCAAAATGAGCACACACACACACACACACACACACACACTTACTTTTCGTTTGGATGGTTCATGTAGACTGTGCCAAGCATGCCTCAAAAACTCCAATACACTCGACATTTCTGATGCTACCCAAGGGCATGAAAGCATCATGAAAGCCATTAGGGGTAGTTGCTTAGAGAGACGCTACGAAATTGACCTACGCAAATCCACGTCCGCGCAACTTGCCGCATTCTCAAGGCTGCAGTCCAACTCCGAAAGCCTTAAACCCAGTTCACCCCTTACACCCCAAACCCTCAACCCCCCGTGACCTCATAAACCTAAACACCCTCAATTCTTCCTTGAGTCTCACTCAAGCGAATCCCACAAGCCCCGAATCCCCTTAATTCCTACAATCAAGACTCCACCTGCGCAAGCGAAACGGATCCGATAGCCCCCGCCCCCAGGCAGACACGAGCCTCGCACCGCGCCTTCTCCTTCCCGAATTTAAATAGCCACACATCTTAGGGATGATGCAACTAGGAGTCGTCCAGCTGTGCATTTGTGACTCTCTGGCTGCCTTTTGCTAGAGCCCGAAGTAATGCGCAGGAGAAACCGGGTTTGAGGTTCATAAATTCATGGCTTTTTCGCCCCAACGGGGAATGGGCCTGCGGTTCGGAATCGCAGAGTCCCCAGGGTGCAAACTCTGGACTTCTCAAGCTCTGGACTCAAACCCGAAGATCCCTGGAGGACGCTAAGCTCTTGACCACAAACCCCAACAGGATGGCAGCTCCTCCCGATAGCCTTCCTGCACGGATGGCAGTTTTAGACGGTTTGGAATTTAGGGCTTGGGGCTTAGGGTTCAAGCGACCATTCGTGGAGCAAGGCTTCTTGAAAAAAGACTATACCCCTCCCCCCCCCCCCCCAGATATTCCATGCGTGCTAAGCTGCGGGGGCACATGTATAGCGAGGGGGTGGTGTTTTTGCTTAATGGCATTTCGCAGGACATGAAGAAAAATGGTAAACCCTACATCCTGACAAATCCTGCCTTGCATTGCTTTTTTCCGCACTAAACCCTAAAGTCGTTTCTGGTCCCAGTCCAGTCCCCCTCTAGACCCCTTCCCGGTCTGCACCCTGACCTTAGAGAAACCTTGACACTGAAACCCAGCGGATGCAGAACAATCTACCCAGAAATGCTTCCGAAATCCATTTAAGGCGAAGGAAGCGAGCGCAAAAAACTCCATGAATATTCACCATCTACGTGATCGTAATACGCCTCTTGGAGTTTTGCAAACTTGCTAAACTAATCCAAGAATTCCCAGCGTCTATCCGTGCATGCATGCCCTAGCAGACCACCCAACTTTGGACTGTGCTGCCCATCAACCCGCTAAGGCCGGCACCCTGACTTCCTCCACTATCCACTGCACGAGGCCCGAAAGGCACTCCATGGGCAGGAAGTCTACGGGGAGCAGGTATCCTGAACACTGCGTGGGCGCTACGCGTCCTCAAGACCTGGGTTCAAGCAGTGCTCTGGGGTAGTTGCTTTACGCATGAAACGGAGAAGCACGCACGATGCGCTGAACTAGAATATATTCACTTCCTGAAGCATCCAGCGGGGTGGGCTGAGACATCCCAGTACAAGCGACAGTGGAGCAGAATGCTGGCAAGAGCGACGATATCAGTGAGAAGGAAATCATAATCATGAAATGTGGTGCAGGCGGACAACTGCGAGCCCAAACATGTGGCTGTTTTAGCTTCAAGGTCTCCCGATAAGCCCCCATCATCACGCATTCTTCTGATTTCCAAGGGCTCCAACCCCAATGTGAGAAGCACCTGAAACCCAAACCCCAAATGCTGCAGTCCTCAAACCCTAGCCCCCCCCTCTGAGCCCTCCTATGAACCCTGGGCCCGCACCCTTTCTCCCCAAGAACGATGGCCGGACGCTTGCCTGACCTGAGAACCAGCTATGCTCATCTACTCCACCTCTTCACCTCACAAAGCTCCAGGAGAATAAGGGCTGCGGGCTTCGGAGTACAGCTTAGGGAAGTTTAGGGTAGAGATGCTTAAAGTTCAGGTCTTTTATGGCGTCGGCGTTCAAGGCTCGTAAGGGTTGAGCATGTACAAACATGGGTAGATAGGAACAATGGTTTCTTGCCTCAGACAGCAGCACTGCTCCACAGGGAAGGCAGGGGGGGGGGCGAGAATGCTTCCGAGCATGCCAATATGATCCTAACCATATCCTACATTGACCTCCCGCTACTCTCACCCAATCCTGCCATCCTCAGACCCCCCGGGGCTTCATTAATTGGTGGAGGTGGTGGTTGCTTGTCTTGAGGGTGGTGCAGCCGACCTCACCATCCTCTTGGCAATAGTGGGGCTTCGTCAACAGGAACGGATACGCCGTTTGGGCAAATGGCGCTTGTACCGCTAGCCCTTGACCAAGCCGGAGCCACTCTTCGCATGGGAATGACTGAAAGGACTGCGTCCAGCAATACTTCGCAGGGTGGAGGGAGATTAGGGTTTGCGCAGGATTGGAGGATTCAACAGCCTGAAGAGTAGCGGACAACATTGCAACATCGGATTAAGACAAGAGACCTTTCGTCATTCCAGTGCGCTTCGAATTCGATTGACTTTGTGCTTCTGCACAGATTTCATTTCATGGTCACTAAGTGCCCACCTGGCCGAAGCCAGTCATGAGCCCGCACACATCCATACCAGAAAGGCCCGTGCACAGCTTTGCACGGGTGTGTCGGCGAAGTTGAGACAGCAGACAAATCTTTGACCTGTCATCCCAAACTCCTTGCACCCTAAGACCCAAGGCCCTTTGCCACCACTGCTACATTTCCAACCAAACCTCCTGGCATGAAGTTTTGGAACCCCAAATTAAGATGGCCAAAAGTTTAGGGTCTTAAGGTCAGGCTGGGAGCCGGCCCCAACCCTAAACCCTGGCCCTGCATTGCCAGCGCTTCTAAGAAATGCTCAGCCCAAAACCCCTAGACGGCAGTGCGTCTCCAGAGTCCTGACTCGTAAACCTTAAACCCGAAACCCAAGATGCCTGATTGGCTCATGTCTCAGGCCCCCTGTCCAGGCGCGCAACGAGGGCGCTTTGCCTTGGTTTGCTGTACCCAAAATGGCCCAAGGATCTATATCTAATGGGTGAAATGGATCGGGGCTTTAGAATTATGCACTTTCAGCCAGAAAAATGCATTTCGAATTGGGTTTGGGGTATCCTCCTGTATGAATATCTAATTTCTGTGGGCGTGTCATCCTGATGAGTCTTTCTCTGGGTGAGGCCGCTTGGGCAGATGCCTGAGGATCCGGGGCATCGTCCGGACCCGAGCTGAGTCCGGGATTCTTCCCCTGAACCCCAATCCCCACATGGTTCAGGGTTTAGGGTTTAGGGTTTAGGGTTTAGGGTTTAGGGTCTGGGGTTTAGGGTTTAGGGTTTAGGACGCCCCTCAGGCCTAAGACCACCCTTCCTTCACTCGAAGTGGACCAGCACCATTTTCCCCAACCCGCAACGAAGGTCTCGCCAGGGGCTTTAGTTCAGGGTCCTTAACAGGGATTCTAATCGGGAGGCATTTTCATCCCTATTAGGACTGTTAGGAGTAGTTAGGATAACGGGGAACATCCTCAGATTGAGGGTATAGAGGGCCCAGGACTCATGGTCTGGAGTTGACGTATTCATTCGAGTGGCACTGTTTCGCTCTAGTTCTCAGTTCAGGACGCCTGTGCCCCGATTCAGCAGCCGCGCCCGCTGGTCGTTGCTGTCTGCCTTGGGTTCAAAGATGCAGAGGGCACCCTCAAACCCCTGTCTCCACACCCCGAGGCCCCTCAGCCCCTACATAATCCCTCAAATCCTGCACCGTACTGGATTTAGGGTTTCGGGTTGAGGGTTTAGGGTTTAGTTCGGGTTTAGGCTTAGGATTTAGGGTTTAGGGTTTCGGGTTTCGGATTTCGGGTTTGGGGTTTGGGGTTTGGGGTTTAGGGATGGTTTAGGGTTTAGGGTTTAGGGTTTCGGGTTTAGGGTTTAGGGTTTAGGGTTTAGGGTACATAGTCCCTCGAGCTTCGAGTGACAAAGGCTGTGCCTGGCTTTGCTGTTTATGGAGAATGGCAGTCATGCATTGAAGAGTTTCTGCCTTGTCCCTCGCTGATAGAGACCAGTATCATCGTGTTCCTGGAAGGTGCTAACTCTCGTCTTGTACGCTGCACTATTCATCCCAAGTCCTGTTCTTAGATCGCAGTGTACTTGCAGATGACCACAAATGCGGGATCCGTTGCAGCCGGAAGTTAGCAGCTCAACAAACAGGCAGACCTCCTTCATTGCATAAATTGCCTATGGTGCCTTATAGCTTACGGTACCAATCAAGGGCCATGACTCAGGACATCAACCATAGAAGCCCTAAACCTTGAACCCTCAACCAGCACCAGCCCCGCGAAACCGGACACCCTGAATTCGCGCCTCGAATCCCAGCAGCCCTCCGCGATCCCCCCAGCGGAGCCCATCGAGAGGACAACGACCTGAGATAAGAGCTTGGGGCTCAGAGTTTGGGATTTTATAGGGGTTTAGGGACTTCGAGATTAAAAAAAGAAAGGTTTGGGCCTATCACACTCATCACACATGCAAACCCTTCACCCCTCAACCTTGCATAGCGCACAAGGTTCATGGTAAGAAAACATACACTACAAAAAGGTGGCGTAGTTTACTGCGATGTCAAGAAAACAGCTGCTAACATCGTTCAATACTCATGGTGCCAGTACAGGGGTTGCCTCATGAGTCAGGCTTGGCCTCCTTGCAGGCTCTGCACTAAGGCCGTTATCTACATACGGAGGCTGACTCTAAGGATCTCTAATAGGTACACTGCCCCTCACCTGTGAGGCGTTGGCGTCGCTGTGGTGCGGTCTCTGGTGTGCAATAGAACCACTGGCGATGGCACTGGCGGGGGCCACCTCGGTCTGCGGCGAGGTCGCGCTGCCAATAATGGTGCACGCCGCTGCCAAATATCCATTAAGGTCGCCGATGTGTTGGTGGGACAGCTGTTCGCCAATCACCGGGGAACCGCACAGGAAGACGCCGACGTGCTCTCCTTGATGCTTTTCGCGGTTCTGCTTGAAGATGCGCCCCCAATTGGGACGTCCAAAGAACTGCCCAGCAGCGCAGGGAAGTTTCTTGACCTGAGACAACTCCACCTCCCCCAGGAAGAGCGTGATTTCCACAATGCCCTTTGGCCGGACCCTCGGCAGCGGCCGTGAGGATATCGCAGATTCAGTCGAACTCTTCTTGACCGCGGCAGCTCCAATAGAAGTAGATCTTCTTCGGGACCACCAGCTTCTCAAGCCCAGACCTGGTTTCATCGGCCTGGGCATTGCTGGCCATGGCTGCTCGCCAAGCAGAAGGCTTCCTGGCAGCGTTCATGATGGTCTCGCGCTGCCTGGCACGAAGCTGGACGGAGCGCAGGATTGAGGCGAAGGGCGTGACACCAATGCCGGCCCCCACGACCATCAGCACGTCGAAGCCCCAGACTTTTTGTGCAGGGGCACCAAACGGCCCAGTGACCTGCAGCACCACGGACTCCCCCGGCAGCATCCCTGGGGCGGCGCTGCTGATCAACGTCTCGCCGGACCGCGCCGGCCTGTCTGCCACCTTCCCTGAAGGGCTCCGGCCCAACAGACGCGGGCCCTCCAACTTGGTTTGAGGCTCAGCCTCTCCCACATCCTTAGCTGCGCCACTGGAACTGCAGATCTTGGGCATGTTGTACACCACTTGGCTGTTGGGAAGCACACGCTTGCAGTACTCGATCACCATGGGTGCCTTGGGCCGTGCGGGCTCGGCACCCACTGCCTGCGCTGGGGCCTCCTCGGTAAGGCGCCGCCGCAGGGCAGAGCACCAGTCCAGATTGTTGGACGGAGATGCAACTCTCCTCTGGGGCCGATGTCGCCATTCTCCTTTCCAGCCTAGGAGGATGTACTGGCCAGCCTGGTACGCAAAGCCCTGTGGAACCTCGAAGGTCAGGCCGATGACGTCGCGCGGGAGCAGCTTCACGCTTTTCAGCGCCAAGTACAAGCTTTGGTGGTTGGAAAGCAGAAGCCGGTCAACGATCACAAAGATAGTGGGGAAGAAGAACCAGATCCAAAGCCGGGCCGGTGCATGCAAGAGAAGCATGACATAGATGAACTTCCATGTCATGTGCACGCGCCAGAAGAGATTGAAACCACCGAGCATGCGCGTGACGCAGTTTGTCCCCCGCCTAGCGCAAGGTACGGCAGTTAGGAGGATGGCCAGCATGAGGAAGCTCAGTATGATGCCCGTCAAGGCCGCACAGCGATTTTGGAAGTTCAAGATCCGTTGCAGCAACGTCACGCCGCTTGCTTTCTCCTCTGCGCTGAGCTTCCACAACTCTAGTGGGTCAAGCTGAATGGCGGGTGCCGTCTTGATGAGGTAGATATGGTGTCCCAGAAATTTGGGGACCCTATATCCTGAGGCTCCAAACTCTGAACTCTAAACCCCAAAGCCCGAACGCCCGGAAAACATCACAGCACATGGTCTTGTATCATGTTCCCGAACGCAACCCAACACCCAACCAAAATCATGCGCCCGAGATCCTCAACCCTGAGCTTTCAACCATAAACCAAAACAAGCCCAACCGAATCCTAAACCCTCAAGCTCAGGCCGTCCTTCGAACCAAATCCGCAGCGCCGTAGTCTGTGCCCTCCTTGGCGGAACCTTTTGTGCGGGCGCTATACGGAGATTGAAGGGAAAACACGGGTCCCACCAATGGGCAAACTAAGTACGGGTGGTAATCATCTTCAACTTGTCTTGATCATGTTCATGACTTCTGCTGTGCTTGCCATCTACTGTGAGGTTAGTTTCACGCAGCAAGGCGTTTTGCCGGACAGGAAAACAAGCGAGAAGGAGCTCACCTAGAGCGTCGGTAAAAGAAGTTTCTGAATGAGGGCCCGAGAAGACCTGCAGTCTTCGCAGGCAACTGCATGGCTCCTATGCATCCTACATCCGAGACCCCCTCGCGACCCTTACAAGGATGCCTTGCCCTGAATGTAAACCCTCACACGAAAGCCGTCAAGTCTGTGGTCCACAGCACCCCCCCTGACAGCTCGCAAGACTCGCCAGCCGACCCAAAGCCCTGAACCATACTTTCTAGGAGTGGACTCCTGCGAAATCTCAAGAAGCCCTGCGCCGATAAACTGGAGATCTGAGCAGCAGCTTCCTCTGCTCCTGCCGCGGGCACTGAAACGGCTCGTCCCAGCACGCGGAGCACCGCCTGCATCAGGGTTCTGGGCTGAGAGTTTAGGACCTGACAGCTGGCAAGATGGACAGGAGCACAGCATAACGACGTGAAGGGACACTAGGAAGTGGAAGCTGGCAGGTCGGATACAAAGGAGGCGGACAATTACTCGACAGACTGGTCACAGACCTGTGTGCAGGCTAGGACGGCCACAAAAGCTGCGCTCCCCTAACTGAAAACATGGTCCAATACATGGAATACTTGGCCAAACACCTAAGTGAGACACAAAACGGCGGCCAAAACAAAACACACGCAAGTCAAGCATGCGAGCCCACTTACCAACGGATTTGTTGCCCCAGGCTTGGCCACTGCAACATGCACCTGCACGCTTGACACGCAAACAGCATCATGAGTTCCGAAAAAACTGCATGAAATAGGCCAAAAACGGTCTGATGTCAAATCGAATGATGCCTGTGCCCGGCGGAAGGAGCTGTTTGAAGCACAAGTGTGTGAACGGAGCACTCGACGAATTGCTCTCACCAAACTGTTGTCAAGAATAAACACGCCAAAGCCACCCAAGAGGGACATGCTAAGAATGTCATTGTCTAGTCGAGGGAACCTATGGAAACCTGCTTACCGCACGACGAACAGTGGATCCCGCATGCCAACATGCCCCGCCTGCCAGCAGCAGCTGGCCTGCGCAAGACATCACGAAGCATACGTCTTGGGCCAGAACCCCACGTGGCAGATGTACTTTGCTGAGCCCAAGACCTTGGCGTTCAATGAGCCCCTAAGGAGTTGCATTGCATAGGAAATGGAAGCTTGTGCGTCATCATACCCTGTTGACAAGCGCGATTCCACGTCAGCAAGAAACAAACCGCGCAGAGCGAGGAAGTCCACCAGCCCTTTGTGGGGGTTTCCGAAATTAGGGGTACCTTCTTGGGCTCCTTATTGTAAGGGAATCCTCTCTTTGGGGACTGAGTCTCACAGGCTCACATTTCGCAAAGTGGCGAATGTGCAGATGCTTGCGGAAACAGAAGCTGCCACCCATGCTCCCCCCCAATTTCTCGAGGCCGAGTACCATCTCATGACGAGGGCCTGTTGGTTGCACACGCCTTTGGGATTGTTGCCGAGCACTTACGATCTCGGTCCCTGGCGCACCCTTAAAAGCGAAGCCACCAAACCTTGAACCCCAAAACCCACGCGTTCTCAGAATTCTGTGCCGGAGTCCTACATAGCTGCTTGGTTTATGGGATGCTCATGGATGCTCGCACCTGCTTTGCAAAAGCTTGAGCGAGGAAGTGAAGGGCGCTTCTTTGAGGTTGTAGTTTTGTCAGCTGACTCAAGCCCACGCTGCTACACCCCGGGCTCAAAACGCGTGCGACTCTCGGGATTCCAGGCCACCTGAAACATCGCTTGCACGCTCTATCGCTCCTCTGCATGGTAGATGCAGCAGCCAACAGTGCGGCCTGGGCATCTCAGGCCTCAGGCTTCGGGAGGGCGCATGTCATGCTTACGGGAATACATAAAACACTGCAACACGCACGCACACACACACACACTCTCTCACTTTTCCCCAGCAATAGCTCGCTTTACTCCCTGAAGGAATGCACAAGCCGGTTCTTCCCAAGAAACAGTCTTCCACATTGTACAATGATAACTTGAAATTCAAGGGCATGACAGTATTGAAGGGCAACGGGCGCAGCCGGTACTACTCATGGTATAGCCATAGCAAAGTAGTCAGCACTCAAGAAACTCCAGCGAAAGCAAACCCTCGCAAAACCGGACATGCGGACAGTTTGAAAGGCCACAATACCGCCAGCTCCCCTTTGTCACAACCCCAGCATAGAGACCCGACAGAGATCCCATGTCAAAACATACCCGTGAACCCTGCGGTGTGCTATGGTCCATGTCCTAGGAAAAAGAGGAAACTCATAACCATCTGACTTCAGCTTAATGGGCGAAAACCTGGCGTTTCCCACATGTTGGTCTCACGTCAAGGCTCTTGCTGTCCCTCAGAAACCCCAGAGCCTTGCGAAATGTGCCTCCGTCTGTGGTTCTCAGCTCAGCCTATGAGTTTCGCCCGGATGTTCGCACAAGATGCTGGTCATTTCAGGGTTGTGGCTTCGTGTTGTTTAGGCCCTCAGAACTAGAAAGCGACGGCAAGTGCCAGATTCAATCTCGTCCGAACCAGAGTGTCGCTTTTGGCTGCCTCCCGCAGCCTAGGCCTAAACTTTGCCCAAACAGAAAGACTTCTTGGAGCCTTGAATCTGAGAAGGAATTTGAGCCCGTAGGTAAACCGCCTGAAGCCCGGCGAAGGTTCATGGCCTGAAGCCCTCTACTTTTGTAAGGCTCGCACAAGCACTGCGCGCCATCGTGCCAGGCGTTGCTGCGTTTGAACACGCACGGCAGCGGTTCCCTCAGGTTCACGGTTCACTTCATTCAGTCCAGTCGGGACCATCTTTCACTAGCAGAAAATCCGCTAGGGCTGAGCAACAGATACTAAGCCGTTCTGCGATTTGTTCCAGTTGCTTGGGGACGGTCAGGCTCCGTCGTTCCTCTGCCCGTTCTTCGGAAGGGGGGTGAGTTGTGGGGGTCGGCAAAAGATGCTAGTGATCTCATCTCGCTTGAGGCTGATGTCAGGCCCATTGTCGTAGATTACATGTCGCGCAAATTGATTTTCAAGGTCGCCCTCTCGATCGACAAATCTGGTATTCAATGCAGATTGGGGGAATGGTAAATTTAGTAAGTAGCTTTCACGAAGAACGGAACAGAGATTATGGGATACACTACATGTGCATGGGACCAGCACAATCATATCCCCTGAGCTATCTTATTACAGAGGGATATCCGAAACATTTTCAATGAAGTGAAGCCAAACAAGAACTTCTGCATGCTAGGGAGTGGCATTCTGTCTATGGTGTCAGTAACCACCCTTGGCGCTCTCGAGGATCATCCAACATCCAGATAGGTTAGGGTTAGGGTTTAGGGTTTAGGGTTAGGGTTTATGGTTTAGGGTTTCGGGTTGGCTTTTTCAACTGTGTAAGGCAGGATTTTCACTTTTGGGGGGGCAACAGAGTGGATTTGGCTCTGGCTTCTTGGAAACGCGAGAGCGTGGTCGTGGTGATCCTAGTCTGGGGAGGAGGGAGGGTGTGCAGTGCTGTGAAAGGCCGCAAAGAGCGGAGAAATTTCGGAGTTCCAAGCTTTGGGTGTCAAAATTATGGTTGGTTGCAATTTTGGCAATCCTGAAAACTCCAGTATTGGGCTCATCCCCTGTCGCCAAGCCCGATCCCCACAACTCCCCTTCCAGCTCTGACCCTCATCTGGCTCACCGATTTTGCGCACGATGTTCGCTTAAAACATTCAAAACTGCGCCAGTCTTTGCCAGTATTTGCCAGGCTTATGCTGTCCACTCTGTGCAGGGACCCGAAAAACGCTCTCAGGCTTTAGGGCGTCCCCAGCTTGGCCAAGTCAGCCATCAGGTCCGCCAGAACATCGTGCACCTGACAGGGAAGTAAGCCCAAAGGCGCGAACAAGCCACTGTCAACATGCTGCTTTGGGGGCGATCTTTAGGGCTTAGGGTTTAGGGTTTAGGGTTTAGGGCTTAGGGCTTAGGGCTTAATTAGGGCTTAGGGTTTAGGGTTTTTGGGATCCCTGCCTTTGTGCTCATGCTCTCGACGATCTCCAGCACCTTAGGCACTTTCGCGTCGATGTACTTCTGAAGGGCGGACTTGTCCCCAACCTATACTGAACTTGGAGCCCTAGCAAAAATTAAAGGCTATGCTAATTTCTTAGGAATCATAGTACCCAAAGATCAAAGAAAAAATATTTCCAAGTCTCCCTAAGCAACGCTGTCTAGGAGGTCGTCGCCCAGGGCCTTGAGGAACTCCTCCATGATCTTCGGGTACGCATCCTTGAACGCCGCGCTCTCTGTGGAGCATTGGTCAAGGGCCTCCCCGGATCCCGAAGTGCAGGCCTCCTGGAGGGACTTCAGGACCTGCTCGGCCTGCACTACGGACGCCTCGTAGGCCTTGCTCGCTTCTTGCAGGCCGGCCATCTTCAGCACGGACTTCGTCTGGGCGCCGCCCTTCTTCAGGTTGTAGGAGATCGAGGCGAAGAGGTGCTTGAGAGGGGCGAGGGCACGCTGCAGGGCCGCATCCTGGCTCTTGTGGGCCTTCTTCACCATGCCATCGAGCTGCGTGTCCATCCTCGTCGCCTCCTTGTCTATGCCCCGCACCTGCTGCGTCAGCATGGTCAGCGCCGTGTCCAAGCCCATCTTGGCCATGAAGATCGGCATGGAGCTCTCGTGGTCGCCGCGCTGCTGGACAGCTTGCGCGAAATCTTCCCAGGAGATCCTTAGTTGTCCAGTAACCTGGGGGAACTAAAGGTTAACCTTTGGGATTCTAAGGGGATTCTACTACCCCAAAAAGGTTAACGGTTACTCTACTACCAGGGATCTCCTCGTCCTTCGCAGTCGAGTGCTGTAGGAGCTGGCTCTCATCGCTCTCGCACTGCTCGCCCCCTACAGCAAGGAAGGTGCTGAGTAGCAGGACCGCCTTCAGCATCGCTCCCACAGAGTCCGAAGGATATGGAAACACACACAGTCTCGAGCTCTCAATGCTGACGGAGATGCAGCATAGCATGGCCCAAAAGCTGATGGCCGACGAACCCCGCAGGAACCGACTCTTTCATTTCTTTCATTTTTTTCGGACCATCGGAAACCCTCCCTCCGTGCACCACCGACTGCGCCCCTTTTTTTCAATGCTGTCATTCGCCTTCCGACTCCCTGCCATTGTAGAAGAGGGAGATCAAAGTGTTCCTGCCAACCAGCATGCCAGCGCAAATGCACTCAAACGCATGTACTTCACTGGCAGCCCCTGCTGATGGCCCCTGGCTGATCCTTCTGCACAGAAAAGATCGTCTTGTTGCCGCCAAGCAGCCACATTAAGTTTGCAAGGAAGTTGGCCGCCACCTTCACCCGCACACGCCCAAGGCTTCCACCATCAAACTGCTGACCATTTGGGGGTTTATGATCATAAGGGACGCCCAGTAGAGATCCCCAAATAGTACAATCCCCTCATGATAAGGACCCCAGTAAGATACCCCTAATATCACAAACCAACATATGCTGCACTGCCTTTGCTGACCTTGTATCTTTTCTGGGTTTAGGGTTTAGGGTTTAGGGTTTAGGGTTTAAGGTTTAGGGTTTAGGGTTTAGGGTTTAGGGTTTAGGGTTTGGGGTTTAGGGTTTAGGGTTTGGGGTTTGGGGTTTAGGGTTTAGGGTTTAGGGACCTTTCTTGTCATCATGTAGTGGGCCTGGTGCCGCACCGGGACGAAGGCAAAGATGCTGAAGGACAGCGGAATCCACACCTGCTGCCAAAGCCCCCGCTTCTAAACCCCTAAACCCTAAACCCTAAACCCTAAACCCTAAACCCTAAACCCTAAACCCAACTGAATGATGCGCAATACGCGCACGTGTCTTTTGCTTGAAGAAACGCATTGAAAGCCTTCCAGATGTACACGAGGCAGTCGACGTACTCGTGGCCTCCGCCGTTTCGCGCCGTTGAGGACAACAACATTCCTGCTGTAGACATCCGTGCCCCACTAGCAAGAACCGCAGTCCAACAAGTTACTCAAGAAACATGTTTCTGGGGACGGCTGGGAAGAATCAGTGGTGCCGTGGTGGCCGAGCGCTGAGTCCCGCGCGCATTCTCGCGACGAGTGAGTCCATGTCCTGGCCCCCTTTTGAGAAACAGCGTTTCTTGAAGAGGGATCTAAGGCTGAGTGCAAATCGAGATCCAAGCGAAAGGTGCCGTTGAGCACATAGAAGCTGGGAAGATACACAATCGGATTCCTTCCAGCCCAAAAGAAAAAACTGGACATGAAGCCTTCAGGCACGTGAAGATGGCGTTGGGTGAGGCACGCATGTCTTAACACAAAACTGACTGTTGGTTAGTCGGGAATGAAAGAATTCATTACTATTGTAGCTACTATTGCTACCATTCTTTCATTCTCTTCTAACCAACAGTAACACAAAACCTCACTGGTTGCGACTCAGAGGCCAAACAAACTGCTGGACCGCAACTTTTTTGCAGATATCCGACCTCAGTGACAGCCAAGTCGGGCGCCACTCTACACCCTAAACCCTAAACCCTAAACCCTAAACCCTAAACCCTAGCAATCTGCCCCCAAGCACAGTCGAGGCTCGGAGCACTTCCCGGAAATCGCCTTGCCAAAAGATGGGTCAGAAGCACAACAGAGCGGTTTAGGGTTTAGGGTTTAGGGTTTAGGCTTTAGGCTTTAGGCTTTAGGCTTTAAGCTTTAGGGTTTAGGGTTTAGGGTTTAGGGTTTAGGGTTTAGGGTTTAGGCTTTAGGCTTTAGGCTTTAGGCTTTAGGCTTTAGGCTTTAGGCTTTAGGCTTTAGGCTTTAGGCTTTAGGCTTTAGGCTTTAGGCTTTAGGCTTTAGGCTTTAGGCTTTAGGCTTTAGGTTTTAGGCTTTAGGCTTTAGGCTTTAGGCTTTAGGCTTTAGGCTTTAGGCTTTAGGCTTTAGGCTTTAGGCTTTAGGCTTTAGGCTTTAGGCTTTAGGCTTTAGGCTTTAGGGTTTAGGGTTTAGGGTTTAGGGTTTAGGTCTACATGCTAGGCATGCTTCCGTTTCTAGGATCCTAAACCCTAGCTAGACCCGAAACACCACCCCCCCCCCCTTCACGCCCTAAACCCCAAAATGGCTTCCCAATGTCATGGGATCCAAAGGGTGGGTGGATATTCGATGCCAGAGTAGGGAGCTTGACTATTGAGTGCTTGGACTTGAGACCTTGATGCACTGGAAAGTTCGCTTAAAGTTTTCGTGCGCCTGTCGCTGAACAAGTGGGGCACCCGACCACCCTAAACCCTAAACCCTAAACCCTAAACCCTAAACCCTAAACCCTAAACCCTAAACCCTAAACCCTAAACCCTAAACCCTAAACCCTAACCAGGCTGCTGCATGCAACCAGCTCCAGATCCAGTCCATGCATTCCGCAAGGCGCCCACAAAGCCCGAAATTTCGCGTCTAGCTGAAACCACAGTCCGTCCAAAACCCTAAACCCTCAACCCTGCACCCAAAGCCCTGAACCCCAAACAAAAATCGAAAACCCCAAGCCCGAAACCAGAAACTCTAAACCCGAAACCAGGAACCCTAAACCCCAAACCCGTCAACACCAAGCGGCCTGTTCAACAGGATGAGCCAGGGTCGCAAGCCGAAGGCCCCCCAGCCGATGGCGTAGAGCGTGAAGGCAAAACCTTGACCACGGGTTTAGGGTTTAGGGTTTAGGGTTTAGGGTTTTGGGTTTTGGGTTTAGGGTTTAGGGTTTGGGGTTTGGGGTTTCGGGTTTAGGATTACGGTTTCGGAACGGAACCCCCACTCCTGAAAAGCCCAACTCCGTTGAGCTTTCTACATGAAGTTCGCGGAATCTGCAAACCAAGAAATGCCGGGGAGAATCTGCGCCTGTTCTTGTAAGCCAATAGGCTCGGAGGCCAATCAAAAGCATAACTTCAAGGGATGTCCAGGGAGCAAGCCATGTTCTCACAGGACTATTTGCGGCCGCGCAGCTTCGCTTCTTGTCGAACCCGGATGCCAAAGACGTGGCACGGCGACGCTCCACTTGCTGCGCCTGCCGGCACGATGCGCGCAACCCTAAACCCTAAACCCTAAACCCTGAACCCTGAACCCTAAACCCTAACTCCAAACCCTAAACCCGATCAGCTCACACACCGTCAGACATCCCAGCAAAGCTCCCATAAGCTCCAAGGCCCCCGCAAGGGCATCCCCCAGAAAGCCGAGCCTGGGTATGGGTGCAGCTTCGTGTACAGGTTTAGGGTCTAGGGTTAAGGGTTTAGGGAGTTTTGGGTTTAAGGTTTAAGGTCGGTTTGGGGTTTAGGGTTTTAGAGTTTAGGGTTTAGGGTTTAGGGTTTAGGGTTTAGCGTTTAGGGTTTAGGGTTTAGGGTTTAGGGTTTAGGGTTTAGGGTCTGGGGTTTGGGGTTTAGGGTTTAGGGTTTAGGTTTTAGGGCTTTTACAGTAGGGTTTCGGGAAATGGCTGTTTTGCGCAGTATGCCCTGCAAAGCAGTCACGGAAGTGCTACTGCTCCCATCGCAGCATTGGGACTTTCCGGGTTACCCACACCTAGGCATGATGGACTACGTAGGAGTATCTGGTCACAATGTGGGAGCAATCACAACCAGTCCGAAGAACAAAATACCTCCTACAACATGACACCCATCAAGGTGACAGCGCGAGTCAAGATAATCCGCGGAAGCGCGAGAAAATCACATGTCCACAATCACACGAATACTGAACAAGAAGACCAACAAGCGTGCACCTGTGACGCTGAGCTCCCGGCGACCCAGCAACAACTCCAGTGATGGTAGCGGGCGCGCGGCTCAGGGCATGTTCGTAGAGTCTCAGCAGGTGGGCTACTCCCATCTGCATGCGACAGAGGACTTAAACGTTGCCTTTAGGGCTCTTCTCATTTCTTGTCACTATGCTTATAACCATCTGGAAAGACCATTCAGGCCATTCAGGCTCCTAGTTCACATGCAAGTGCAGGAGGGATGAACGATTCTGGGTGCGTGGAAAAATGTGGCTCTGCTGTTCAGGGTGGCTTGCCAACCCAGTGACTCAACGAGCATGCTCCGTCATGAAGATGAGGCTTCGAGAAAGGGAGCTTCACACTCAAGCATGAAGAAACCGCTTGCAGCTGCACTACGAGCACACAATTTCATGTCTGAACCTCCCACCGTCTCCTGCCCCAAGATCAATATATTTCTCCCCTGTTGGCTAAGACAGACGCTCACCACGCTCGGTGTGCTTTGCACAAGACCGAGCACGAGCGAACTTAACTTATCCATCCATGCTCTAGGGAAAGTGTTCTCTCCCATAACGACTCTACAGCGGGCAACAAACCTGCCCACACAGACATTGACAAGGCCGTATCAGCCTCCATTGATGCTCCCTAACTAATCTTCGGCGCCTTCGGGATTTCGGGTGACGTTCACCTCATCCCTCCATGCCTCAGAAATGGCGATTCATCAGCAGTCTCTCTCATTGCTTCAGCTGCAAGAGCATTCTCCAGACTGTGCAGACTGATTTGTTCACCACACACATCTACGCAACGTTGAAGACCTTGCCCAAGACCGTGGCGCGAACACGACGAGCCAAGAGGACGGCGAGCTCCTTCTGAGCCCGCCCGACCCGTGGCGACCTTGGGACATCAGAGTGCTGAGCAGAATCCGCAGCCACTGGCTGCAAGCGGTCGGGAGATGCCAAGGATTGTTGCAACTCCTGCATGCTGCTACCCTAAACATCCAGGAATCCAGTTGCTGCGAAGGCTGGAAATTGCCAAGTAAAGCACTGCGCCGTTTGTCGGACAACATCCAGAGGTTCCAAACCTTGGCAGCAGCGACACCCTAAACCCTACACCCTAAACCCCACGAGAAACCCTAAACCCCTAAACCCTAAACCGTAAACCCTAAACCCTGCACCCTAAAACCTAAACCCACTCCCCTGGCAGAGGTGACTGCAAGAACTGACTGGCCCAGAAGTTTAACCCTGGCTTTGTCGCTGCCGAGCATCCATCCGCAGACCGCAAATCGGGTATGGCCTCCCCACGCAAGCTCATGTGTAGGGTTTAGGGTTTAGGGTTTAGGGTTTAGGGTTTAGGGTTTAGGGTTTAGGGTTTAGGGTTTAGGGTTTAGGGTTTAGGGTTTAGGGTTTAGGGTTTAGGGTTTAGGGTTTAGGGTTTATGGTTTAGTGTTTAGGGTTTAGGGTTTAGGGTTTAGGGTTTAGGGTTTAGGGTTTAGGGTTTAGGGTTTAGGGTTTAGGGTTTAGGGTTTAGGGTTTAGGGTTTAGGGTGTAGGGTTTAGGGTTTAGGGTTTAGGGTTTAGGGTTTCGGTTTAGGTTTATTGTTGTAACGGCCAGAAACAACTGCTGGCATGTCCAAAGGGACTTCATATTCAATGAATGCAAGACCATCTTCACAATGCCGAACGATACTGACCATGATGCAAAACTCCTTCGAGACCTATACCACCCAAACCCAGGCAAAAACTCTTCCTACGTATTTCCTGCATCACCAACATGCCGGCGAGGCCCGAGAGTCAATAAGCAAGTTCATGGCATCGACGCGACCTGTCAAATGAAACGAGGCTTTAAGGCTTTGGGTGTAGGGTTTAAGTTTAGGGTTTATGGATTTAGGGTTTAAGGTTGAGGGTTCAGGGCTTAGGGTTTAGGGATGTGGGGTTTTAGGTTTAGGGTTCAGGGTTTAGGGTTTTGGGTGTTGGGGTTCAGGGTTTAGGGTTTCGAAGTCTTCTTCAAACCTGCTCCGGCAGCCAGGTGCAGCGGAGCCCAGCCGAATGCATCCAATGCGTTGACGTCGGCACGGCCCTCGATGAGTCGCCTGATCCAGAGTGGACCGAGCAAAAGATTGTTGTGCATTGGGCTGTTCCCCCTTATGGGATTGTAGTACCCCCTACTATAATCCCTACTAAGGACTGTTAGTCCCAAGTTGTGCAACATAACTCACTTCGAGACGCAACTCCAGCCTCATGTTCTCGCTATGGCCATGAAGAGACGCGAAGTGCAGCGCCTGCAAGCACTGGAACCTCTTTGAGCCGCTTTCTGGCTGGTTCTCAGTAGGAAAGGAGGGAATGAGACTGTACCCTATCTATTCCCTTAAAGGGCAGATTTAGGGCCCTCATTCCCTCATTCCCTACTAAGAACCAGGACTTCATTTTAACATCGATGCTGGAATTAGGCCCCCAGCGCCCACACCACCCGGCAGAGTCAGGTGAGTGTCGACCGACATCGACACCAGGCGATCCAGCTGGCTTGCCTGCGGTCTCCAGATGTCTGCACACAGGCATGAGTTGCACTGACTCATGTTCCGATATGGTGGTTTACGAACATAGGGGTACCCTAAAATAGACCCCAAATAGTAGGACTCCCTTTCAGCAGGGACCCAAATTGTGTACCCCAATTTCGGAAACCACCATGTAGCTCTCTGCAAACACCAAGATATCTCGACCTGGCCAGCCAGTGAAGCCCTCAACAGCTGCAGGCCTGGAGAAGAATTTTCAGGGACTCATTGGGACATGTTGGAACAGTGGATCATCAGACAGAAGCATGCACAACACTGCCGGGCGCACGCTCATTCTGAACGGGGTATATGTCGCAACACCGCGACCGATCCCTCAACGCATGGCAAGGTCCGCGGCATACCTTTCAAAGCAGCTGCAAAGCAAGCTCATGTGCCCACACATGAGATCACGCACGCTCTAGGGCTCGAGTGATGTGGCAAACAGCAACGCCAACGCCAGCGCAAACTGACCGCGCAAGCAACTCAACCTCTTCTGCAAACTTCAAGTTTACGAGCGCAAGGAGCCAGGCTAAGCCAGGCTAAGCCAGGCTACAATCTCGGATGAGTTGGCCTTGAGCTCGGAAGAACCCTCGCAGCGGAAGTCACTGCAGAGCTGGTCACAACATCTGTACAGATCCACGGCGAGATCACATTGGCCAGTGCCTTGGAGGCGCTTGGAGGGTTTAGGGGTTAAGGTTTAGGGTTTAGGGTTTAGGGTTTAGGGTTTAAGGTTTAGGGTTTAGGGTTTAGGGTTTAGGGGTTTAGGGGTTTAGGGTTTAGGGTTTAGGGTTTAGGGTTTAGGGTTTAGGGTTTACGTTTCAGGGCTCAGGGTACTTATAACCCAATCATAAGTGTGGCTATAACCCACTCACAGCTGCTTAGGTACCCTAGTAGGGTTCTAATTGGGGTTACGAAGTACCCTGAACCCGAAACCCTAAACCCTAGTAGTTGGGTTGCTAAGTACCCTGAAACTCCAAGCCGTGCAAAAATGACAAGATGACAAGTCCAAGGACTTGACATGGCGGTCACGCAATGCAAAGACCCCTGCCACGAACCAAACCTTTACAACTAAAAACCACAAAAACCCTAAACACCCGAAAAAGAACCAAACATACTCTAAAACACCCGAAAAGCCAAACCCGAAAAGCCCCAAAACCTGCAAAAGCCCGAACATCGCGTAAACACTGAAAACACACATCCAAGGCCCAAACATTGTGGAGGAGTCGACCGAGTCTTTGGAGCATGTCCGGATGGACAGGCGAGATATGCGCAGTCCTGCTGAGCAGAAGCCACCTCATTCGGGGGCAAGATGAGGGGCAAGCCACCTCACTTGAGGGCAAGATGGGGCAAGTCAATGGGGTTTAGGGTTTAGGGTTTCGGGTTTAGGGTTTAGGGTCTAGGGCGTCGGGTCTAAGGTTTAGGGGTGAATACATACAACGGCTTGTTGAAGAACTACCGCGTCTATACCGTGGTCGAGTGCCAACGTCGTGAAGCTCGAAGAGAAACATAGCCTACTAAGACGCGAGCTGTGTTAAACCAAAGGAAGAAGCTGAGCCGCAGACCAAGATGAGGGAGGCTTGCAGCACCCATGCCAGTCGAGTTCCCATGTGGGAATCCGCGTCGTGAATTGTGTGTGTGCGTGTGTGTGCGTGTGTGTGCGTGTGTGTGCGTGTGTGGGCAGTGTGGGTGTGCGGGTGGGTTCTCAAGGATGATTCCCCAAGATGCTGCAAGATGCTTGATCGACCATCAAGATTCCCATGTGGCCGAAAATCGAGCCGAAAGGACAGCAGGAGGGTCCAAAGTTATGTTGCTCCTCCGTTCATGTGCTCTGCATTGAGAGCCACGACTTTCACTCCCGGCCGACTACTCAAACCGGATGCAAAAGCGAAAGGGTTGGTTTACGGCTTAGGGCTTAGGAGGAGTCTAGGGCTTAGGAGGAGTCTAGGTCTTAGGAGGCGTCTAGGGCTTGGCGTTTCGGATGTACGGTGTTGAGGATTGAGGATTGAGGATTGAAGGCGCTTTATCCAGAAAACTCATGGCAGGATCTCGAGGCCACGACTCAAGCCCTGGCTGCGCGACTGAGGGATGGTACAGCCTGCTTGGCGGGGTTCCCTTATCCGGGGCCTTAGGGGCTATATTGGGTGCTACTCAGGAATACAGGAACTATATATGATATAGGTATATACGCGGGTCATATAGGGGTCATATGAGGGAGTAAGATTCAGGGTCCCTTCATAAAGTAACAAACCCAAAACCGGCCGCCCTTACAATTACTGGGCTACCAAGTCTACGCCGCCCGTTTTTTTTGGGAGGGGGGGTGTCTCTCTTCTACGACAGACTCCTGAAAGGATATCAGAAGAGTCCTTGCCTAGATTCGAACCTAGAACGTACTCGCACAAACAACATTCACCATTCACCCAGTCCTGCAGAGATCCCCTACCTGAGGCTCGAGACTTCAGACCTCTTGTGCGACTTCGGGTCTACATGCGCTGTTTCGGGCTTAGGGGCGTTCGGTTCGGGATTTCGGTCTTCGGGCGCAGTTGACTCTCCTGATGTGGACCTTGGCTATAGTCAT